ATTATTGGAATAACTATTGAAGCATACACTTAACATTATTCTTGACATGCGCTATGTGTATTGAGTAAAAGGTAACAAGTTTTATTCTTTTTATCTGGAACTTTGTTGGATTTGTTACAAAAATAAGAAAAGTTCAGCAAATCACGAAGTCCTTTCTTCTAGTCTATTAAATGTGACAAAAGTAAAAGAAACTCCAAGGGAAAAGAATTTATTGCGTTGAAATCAGTAAAAGTTATTTGTTTCCTTTTCAAAAAGTAACGTGTCTTAGCAAATGAAGTATAAATCTTGTCGACTATATTTATTACTTCACATTTAGCTTTCAAAATGAATATAATCACGCAACATCCTTATCCATTACGTAGGTTGTGTCCTCAATTTATTTCTGACGCCATAAGTTTTGCTCTGAAATGAATGTAATGTCTTTAAAACTTACCTCTTTGTAACAACCACAAATTTAGTTTTTACATTGAAAATAAATTACGATAAACTTTGCGTGTTTTGCAAGATTACAAATGCCTGAGCTCTTCGAATGCATAGCCTTTAGTATACTTAAGAATTTATTTAAAATACAGCTAATAACACATTTTAACATTTTATCTAATTGAGTTAAGATAAAAATCATTCATAATTTAATTGCCAGAAATTATTTGCTGAAACATTTCCATTTATATGTTTATATTTTATTTATCTAGAATATTAATTGATTTCTGAAGTACTTTCATTAATGATTTCGAAAATCTGCTCATTACTTTTGTCTGCTAATTAATTTAATAAAAATTCTTTCAGGCAAAACTAGTGCCCCTTCTATTAAATGTAACAGAAAAGTTCACGTGACTGCCGTTTTGCTAGATCTAAATTAGTCTTTCATTATAAGAGTATAAAATGTAACACACTGTAGCTGTAAAAAAATTCCAGATCAAATTACGAAATTAAGTATAGACACTTTGGATGCATCATCAGTAAACTACTGTAAAATCCGTTTTACAGTGAAATAATATACCGCAATTTTTACAGTAGTATTTATTTAATTAGAATTATTCAGTGATTTTATGGTAATTATTATTGTAAAAATTGCAGCAAATCAGATTTTTTTTTTCAGTATCACCTTTTGAAAAAAATAGATTTTACGGTAAAAAATACCGGCCGCTTGAGTGCCGGTACTTTTCACTGCAATTTGATCCGAAATTTTTTGAAGTGCGTGCATTTTTTATGTTAGACATTCTTTTAAAAATAACACTCCATAACGAACTTAGTAGATAGGTAGGTACGTTATTTACGTCGCACTAGTGCTGCACAATGGGCAATTGGCGACGTTCCCTGAGGATGATTCCTAGGCATGCCATCGCAATTTCGATCCTCTACAGAGGAGTGACTCCCCTGCTTTGGTAGCCTGATGAACTGTGAGTGAAGTTTAGCACTTTACGGTAGAACAGTTTAACGAGGACCGATACCGCGCACCCTCGGTCCCTACGCAGGCTGATCAAAGTGGTCACCGACGCGCTTATTCACAGCCAGTGAGGCTTGACTTCGGTGTTCTTCTGGGAACCATGTCCTTACGATCAGTCCACTGTGGGACTGGGGAGGAAATAGATAAGTTTTTCCGAAATAATTATAGAAGTAGTATTATAATAATAATACGCTTTGCTTAAATTTGTAGCAAAATCATTTTGATAAATATATTTCTGAATGAAACAGCAACACATATATTAAAATACTATTAACGGGTTCATAAATTTAAGTATAATTTATTTTCATCTTGTGCGTTACGCATGAGATTGAAGGAAAAACTAGTCGAATTCGGAGAAAATTCATTAGGTAAAAAGAATTCCGAATATACTTTACCATTGGTCCAAAGTAGTTTCCGTTGTGCTATAAATTATGTATTACAAAAAAAAAAAATTAGATATATTAAGCGTTTAACTCTGGTTTTACAAACATAAGAGAATGTTTAGAAAAGAATTGTAATTTTCTTTTATTCAAAATACGACAGTCATTTTAGCATTTGGGCATGTTTCAAACTGTTATTAATATTACTGTTGTTGTTGTTATTATAATAATTTATCATTTTGAATTCACAAGGAAAATTTCAAATTTTTTTTAATTAGCTGAACATAATGCTTTTTGTTTGAGTTGGTGATTAAAAAATAATTTACTTCCTAGTATTTCTATCATAATAAATTCTTTTAAAATTTAAAATGCTTGCATTAAAATACATAATCTTTAAAAATCTTACTATTCAGGAACATTAGCTTTTTATTTACTTAGTCTCTTTATTTAAATAATGTATAATATAGTTGGCCATTTTTAGTCATTTGTATACAATATTTCATGCATGAAATTTCTAATTTTTACTAATATTTTACTTATATATATATATATAATAGTTATAAGATGCATGTTGTTTGATCATTATGCATTTTAGAACAATAATTTATGTACTAAATTAACTTTTTTTGTAACTAGGGTATTTAAAAATATAATTATTAATCATCGCAAGTTGATACAGTTTTTAAAATAAGAGATTGTAAAAATAGCACTTATTGCCGATTTTCATTGTTTTGTAGTGAAATGTGTCTAATGTTCTTATTTGAATACTGTGCAATAACAATGCAATTTTTCTCTTCTGCTTAAAATAATTATTACAAATTTAAGCATTCTTTTCATTATGAAACAATAATTGAAGCATATGAAGTTGAAAGATATTTAGTTTCTCAGAAATGTTTGTATAATTTACATAAGGGTTTTACCATTAGTTTAACTGGAAAAAGGTGAAAAAAATTGAAAAGGCCAGGCGTTCACAATTATCGAAATTGATTTTGTATTAATTTAAATTATAAAATACACATATTAATACAAAAAGAGAAGAAAAAAATCTTATTATAGGGAATATTAAGATGCATGATGCTGGATAATTATTCATATAGAACAATAATTTCATACATTAAATTACTATTTTTTGTAATTATGATATTTTGAAAATATTATAAAGCAATCATCGCCAGCGAATGTAATTTTCTTTAAAGCGTAAAAAATAGCACGCATTGCAATTTTCCATTACATTGTAGTGACTTGTATATAATCTTATCTGAATGTTGTGCAACTACGATGTAATTTGTCTTTTTGTTTGTAATAAAAATAATAAATTGAATAAAATATAATAAAATTTTCCCGGCAGAATGGAACTAAATGGACAGAAATGGCTATAAATAATATTGCAACTGCTGGATTTTTCTCGAGTGACAGAACCATTTCTGAATATGCAAAAGATATTTGGGGTGTGACACCATCTAGAGAGAAGCTGCCAGATCCCCATGAACCCGCTGAATTACAAGATTCGAAAAAGAACACTAAAGGAAAATAGAGCTTAGTTTAAAATTTTCTCAGGAATTTTATTTTGATCGAAATGTATATTTTTGATGTTTATCTTTAAGAGTTATATTGTAGAATTTTTTTTTTCTTGTTGATTAAAATATTTACTCAATTTTGTCGTTATCAATTTCAATGAACTTAGAAAATTCGAATTGGTATCTTGCGAAAAATAAANTTTATAATGCCATTACATATTTCTATTAATATAAAAAGTTTCAGAGCTTTTTATTCACTTTACTTTTTGGGGATTCTATGAACTGAAAAATGACAGTTTTCGTGAGAATGACCCATATATATATATATATATATATTTAATAATTTTTATTGTGATCCTTTTTTTTTGTCACATGCATTTAAATATAAATTTTTAGTATTTGTCTTTTTATTAAATTATTATTACTGTTATTTCTGGCTACATTATTCTGCCGAATCCAATTTGAAAATTACTTGAAATTTCATGAGAACAAAGTTATATATTGTATTAATTTATTACATTTTACATTGTCTTAATGCATACGTTATACAAATTTGCATTGTAGTATACTGGACGTTTCAGAAATGGCTGATGGTTTGAAAAAGTAAAATACGAAAAAAGACAAAAATGGACTGATTTTCATGTTTTTAAGAATGCTACTTTTTATTCTAGCATTATTTCGAAAATAGTAACGAAGTTTGTCAGCAGAAGACATTGTTTAGGGGGAAAACTATAAAAAATGTATCTAGAATAAAACGTTACTTTCTACAACCATAGGACGGAAACCTGACAGAAAAAAATTACGAAAGTATTTCAATTTTTAGTAAGAAAATTAATTAAAACTGGCAAAAATTAAAATTGTTAATTCTACTTTTGCAATTATTACAAAAATAATCTACTTTTTTTAATTTATTGAAATAATAAATCTACTTTTGTAATTATTGCTAAAACATGTATTAACATGCCTGTAATATGGAAAAAGGTTGAAAGCAAACAAAACAAAAAGTTGAAGAAAACAAACAAAAAACGAAGCAAAAGCTACTCGTATTATTTTTGAAAAAGGGTTGTTTTTTAAGTAAAAAAAATAAACGTCTTAGATTTTTGCCAAGCTAAATAATGATCTATAAATAAGCTTGGTGACTATAAACGAATATTATTTTTGTAAAATAGTTCTTTAGGACGTTGCAAAAACAAGCAAATGAAAAATATAATATTTTTTATCCTCCGATTGAAGTTAAAGTGTTTTTTTATGAACTCTCGTTTCACTTGTTTAAGACAAATATTTACTTAGAAATTATATTACATATGCATGAGTTTATTTATTCACTACCTAAGAAATTAAAATATTTACATTTTCTGCACCCCCCCCCTCAATCCGATAACCATTAACGAAAGAAATTTTTTAGAGAATGGAGTAGATGAAGGAAATTAAGTAATCTAATTACTGCTTTAGGGGTAAGCCTCGGTATTTTTTTCCTAAGATTGAGGTTAATTAATTGATTTTCTTTGAAAAAATCCCTGGAAGTTTTAATTAGTTGGAGATAACTAGAGTTGAAGATGAGGTTAATGTTATTTCGTTGAAATCATTTATTCTTAATTCTTTACCTTCGACTCATATTATAACTGTTTAATTTATTTTATTTATTTTTCATTTTAGATGGATTTGAAAAAAACGAAGTATCTTTAAAATGGACTGATGGAACTCCCATCGTAGTAAATTCTAAATTGCATATTACCAATTTTGTGTTAGAAGATTTTACTACTGGATATTGTGATAAGCCCTTAAGTATGTATTTATATTTTCTAACTTTTATCTATAAATATTACATGGTATTTATTTAAATTTTATGAGTATATTAAATTAATTAAAATGTGACATAAATGATGTCATGAAGTAGTGGTTACTTTTGTTAAATCAGATTAGAATCTCATTTTTTACAGCCAAAGTCGACAAGTTTTATTTTATAACCGGTGTTAAGCAACAGACCCAATTCTGAGTTTACGATTATCAATGTTAAACTCTTGTAATTTTGAACGCAACTCAGAAAACAAAGAAAATCCTGAATCAAACATCGGGGCAAACTAGCCTTAGTGGAGAATTTTTTGTTGGTACTAACCCACATTTACATTACATGAGAGAACATTTTACTTCAGCTCTGTGGTTGGTGAGAACCAGGAGCAGGATCCGTATCAACCCGCCACCGCAGAAATTCGAACCTGGGAAACCTGATTGGGAAGCGAACGCTCTATCCTACGAGCCACCTCATAGTGTGCTGGGATATAATAAAGAAGGAAAAAAATATATAAAGCACAGTTGAAAATTACATATGTAGAGTCAATATTTTTAGTGGTAGACTGATCATGGGTTAGATTCAACATGACGTCAAACTAACCGCAGGAGGTTTACGTGGTTTTTCTCTTTATGTAAGGCAAATGCGTGTTAATTCCATCAAAAAGTCCTCCACAAAGGCAAAACTTTCCCAATACTTGATCCAGGAGTTCCTTTGTCTTCAAGATTGCTCATTTGTAATTGCATTTACTTAACATTTGTAATTACAAGGCTACAGAGATGAACATTAGTAGTCGTAAACCTAAATTTGGGTTGGCTGTTCAACTACGGTTACATAAAAATGTCCTTTATAGGCTTGAAAAGCTGTTAATGAGAGCCACTATTAATGACATGCCTATTAATAGTACATTAAAAGCTATTATTTCTTAGATGATAGATTTTTCAATTGTTTTCAATAACTTTAAATTCTCTTAAATAATTCCAAAAATATCATGAAATACGAAAAAATAATTTTTTGTTTAAACATAATTTATGTTAAAAAAAGGAGTACTCATTAAACTGTAATATTTTAATGAAACAATTACAAAATAATATCTAGTTTGGGCTTATTAAAACGCATCAAACTTAGACTTCTAAACGATTTGAAAAAACAATTTAAGTCAACTTTAACTTTTACTGCATTTTTATTTCTTAAATAATTCTGAAACGACTTTAGAAATCAAAAATCAAGTGCACAATTTAAAATTTTTCCGTCTTATTCAAAATATGTAGATAATGACATATTTTTCCAAGAGCTGACTACATTCCTTTCATTGTGTATTATATCAGCTTTTCTTATGCCTCATTAAGTAAACCTTATCTTTCTCCCATCAAAATTTAACCTTTATTTTCATCTGTTAAAAAGTAAAACAACAAATATTTATAATTTCCTTGGTATACTGCGATACAATAGCAGTAATCCTGGTCATTTATCAAGTTTTTTTTATTTTTAATGTCAACATTGTTACGAAGTTTCGAAACAATAAAATAAGTTTCACAACAACCTTCATCCTAACAGATGGCCTTATCTATGCTTTGTACTGAAAGGTGTTAGTGAAAATCTCTAAAATTGTCTATGGTGTTTGCTGTTCGGTTAGTGGGGAAGGGAATTTTTTTTATTTTTTATTTTTCACTGGAAACTTAACATTTGTAAATTACGGCTTCGTAAAGCCCAAAATTTGAAAAATGATCTTTTGAAGGTAACAAGCAAAGACTTCTAACTAAAAGAACTACTTTGCTATTGTGGCTGGAATCTTTATTAGATTTTAAGAATGGCTCCAATTTCATCAAAGATCCTGTCTTTCATAAGAAAGACTGTTCATAAGAAAGAATGCATTTTAGTTTGACTGCCTATTAGATAATTGAAAGTTAAGTTTTGTTTCATAGAGCCCCCTCTCCAATGGAAAAAAGAAAAAGAAAAAACAAATTTTAATCATTTTCAGAACTCAATGAAAGTTTCGACTCGAAATTTTTACTGTCTTTCAATTTTTATTGACAGATTAAATGAAAAAATCTTTATAATGGTAACTGGAAGTTACTGAAAATTATTACTTGCGCTAAAATTTCGTGTTTTTTCTATTATTTCTTTTTACTGCGAGGAAACGAATCACATTAATAATTAAGTAAATAATTTCTTTCGCCTTTAAGCAATGAAATATTCTTGTTGACATAATTAATATTTATTTAGTGTATAATGACTTACTAGAAAATTCATAGAGTTTATTAACCATGAGAACTAAACTTCTGTTTCAACTTTTTAAACCACAAATCTTGCTTTAATTCACTGTAAACAATTCTGAATAAAATTACGGTAAAAATTGTCAGCACTCAGGGTGCCGGTACTTTTTACCGTAAAATGCTACTCAACAAATGTCTGATATACTGTAATTTCTTCAGTAATACATATTTAATTAGAGTGATTCAGTAATTTTACGGTAAATATTCTCAGAATTAGAGAGCATGGACCGGCAAAATCCATTTTATTCATTTCCTTAGTTTACAGTAGAAGTGGATTTTCCAGTAAAATGGATTTTACGGTGTAATGAATTTTACCTAAAAATGGTTTTTAAAGTATCACGGATTTCACGGATGATGTAGAGGTACATTGCAATTTGCTGGTACTTTATACCGCAATTTGATCCAGAATTTTTTACAGTGTATACCTGAAATACCTGAGTACCTTATTTGTCAGAATAGGACTATTTAAATATAAACTGCAGGTTTGGCTTGCTCTTTAACAATGAAAGTCAATAATTTCACAGATAAAACCACAGCTAAAACAAATCTTGTCTATAACTAAAATTTGTTTTCTTTACAATTATCGAATAAAATGCATATCCCAGGTTTTTTAAGCACAAAGAAAGTTGTTACTGAAATTAGTAAATTTCCAAGAATCAATTTGTTTATCAAATCTTTTCTAAAGTAAACGAAACGGAACTAATTTTTTTTCATTTAATTCACAAAATATAATAATAAGACCTGAAATTAAACTTTATTTTGTTCTTGTAAATTTATCTTTCTACAACTAAAATAAATGTTTTCCATTTTTATGTATTTCAGACGGAAATTATGGGTGTTTGTTGCTGAAACTGCAAATTAAGAGGCAATATGGATTTTATTTGACTCAAGTTTTTGTGCCTTACGTCATTTTAGTCGCTGTCTCATGGCTTTCCTTGTGGTTGGATGCAAAAGCTGTTATTTTACGATTGTCACTGATTTTTGTTTTACTCTTTATGATGTTTATTGTAAATCTGCAAATTCAACCTTTGATTCCTGCAGCACCATATACTAAGGCAATTGATATCTGGATATCTGTATGCATTGCTTTAGTATTCACGGCTTTACTGCAGTTCATTTTAGTTAATCAGTTAGCACGACGTGAAAGAAGGGTGAGGATATCAGAAAATCACGTAGCAAAGAATGGTGGCTGTAAAAGGAGTAGCAAAGTAAGTTAAATATTTTTTCCTAAAAATTACATATCTATGAATGAAAGAAAATTTATCGAATTTTTTTGCATGAGCTTCCCCTGCAGATAAATTTAAATTTTTTTAAGTACTAATAGTAGTCGCACTTTATTCTATTTAAAGCATCATATAATTCTCTTTTTTCACACTATTTAGTGATACGTATTGGGCTATTATCGACTATTTTTAGACATCCCTTCTACTACAGCATTTGACATTAGTAGGGGAAAAATGAGCACTTCACCTCACATTTAGGGTTGAAAACCTCTCTTACTATAGTGCTATGAGATGAGCACTTCACCTAACTTCGGATCGATGACCCCTCATTTGTAGGATGAGGGCTTTACCCCACTTCCCTTAGTATGGATCAGAGTTCAACCCCACTGATATACTCTTGGTAGGGATGACGCAACATAGCTCTTTACGTAGCATGGTTGTATTAGTAAGATGTAAATTAAAGAAATTTCAATGATGAATTACTGTTTCTCTTTGATCCAAAACGTACAAATTAGCGCAAATTTAAAGAAAAAAATTTATTGTTTGGAAGTGAGCCGTGTTTGAAAGATTTTACCTTTAATGTAGAAAAAAACACCACTGTTTCATGCTGTACTTCATAACTATAAGCTATTAAAAGGCTGAATATAATATTTTCCCTTATTATGACCTAAATTAGTACAAAATTATGAAAAAGCATGAGAAATATGTTTAACACCTTAACAGTGTTCATATTTCAGTCAACATATTTCAAAAAAATTGACCAAAAATATAAATTAAATTTTTTTTTGACTTTTTAATTTTTCTTTATATTATTATAAAAGTAAGAAAATGGTTTTTTATTACATATATAAAATTTTAAATGCAAAAACTACTGTATTTATAGATTTTACATGCACATAAAAAAGTAATGGATAACACACACATCTTATTCAATTAGAGCAATTAAACAAACTTTTGAAGCTAAATATGATATAACTAGTATAATATAACTAGTATAGTATAATATAAGAACACAACAATTTGATTTTCAATACATAAATTTTTGCAATAAAGCAGCTGACAACACCCACATTTTCCCTCACTCGACTAAAGTCGTAATCGGTGAAAAACTAGGACCACTAATGCCATCTATTAGGAAAATAGTGAATTAAGTATCCTAAATAAGAAACGAACTGAGCTCGAGCTTCACAAAATAGAAACGTTAGTTTTTCTCCTGCCCGAAGTCAGTTCGAGCATTACAAATAATGCACGTAATATTTACCCGAATTGGATTCTGGCAACACTGGAAAGGGGTTAATAAAAATTCTGCGTCAAAGGTTTAGAGTCTGAAGGGATTTAATTTTTGATTATGTCATCTATCAAAAGGTACCTTGTTTATCTATTCATCTCTCAAAAGGTACCTTAAGATAGAATCAAGTTAACATGTCTTATATACTAGTGATTTGGTATTTAATATTTATAGTGGTAGCTACACCACAAGTCTTTTCTCTAAACATTTTAATTTATTTGCTTACAGAAGTCCTACAAAGTGCAAAACATCTTAGAAAATTGTTCTCATCATCAAATACCACTATCGAAGCGAATAGATTTCATCTGTCGAGTACTCTTTCCAGTGGCGTTTGTGATATTTAACTGTATATTTTGGTTCACATACATAAAAGGAAGAGACAGCAAACACATAATTAAATGATATCTTTTAGAAATTCTTCTATACTATAAAGTGACGTGAAAAGTTGGATTTTTGACATTTACGCACTCTTCATGAAATTGTAAATAACTTTTGAGATTTGACACAGATTTACTTAGAAGAAACTATGATTTTATATTATTCATATATTATTGCTGTATAGTACTTTAATGTTTATTCGTCTATAATTATTAAATAAGTATTGTTTCTAGTACTGATTTCTTTTTATTTTTTGTTAAATAAGTCTTTTTGTTTATCGTTTTATTATATTTTATTATCTTTATGTTACTATGTTTTTTTTTATTTTTTTTAAATAAATTAAAGAAAGATTTTAAAAATATTTTTTTAAGCTTTTATGAAATCCAAAAATAAAGTAAATGAATATGAATTTTAAAATCAAACTAGAGACATTATCTGTATCTATCTTTCCAAGATGATTCTTAAATCTAAACTTCATTGTTCTTTAAGCAAAATCTTATAGCGGTGATGATTAGTTTAGTTTTAAAATATGAATTATTTTAGAAACAAAATATTTTTTAATCTTGTATTGAGCTTTATATGTGTTTTAATTGAAGTTGTAAATAAAATATATTAAAATGTGATATTTGCTTATTTTTTAATATTTGTTACATTGTAAATTATGTTTGAAAGTGAATTTATTATTTGCGTAATAACTGAAAATAATACTTCAGTTCAAAGTATTGAAATATATAGGTACTGTAAAAAATAACTCGAAATATAAAAATTTGCAAATAAACCATATTCAATTTCCACATCGAGGAAATACAAATATATTTGAATGTATTTAGTGCTTAATGGGAAATACTAATAAATAATGATGTTTTTTTTCAACTTGGCTTTAAATAATTAAAAAAAAAAATAATGAGACGAAATTTTGAATTGTTTTAATGTTATGATCATACAATAAGAACTTGACTTGAGAAAAACGAGTTTAAGCCTCGTATAAATATATTCGAATCTATCCAACATTCCTTCATTTCATTACATGAAGATTTGCGTTATTAAATTTCAATTTTAAATCTATTGTAAATTAATAAAACAAGAAATATCATAGGTTAGCTAAATAATGGCAGCAAGGCTCATGGAATGAGTATTTTGATATAAGCAATCAAACTCATCGAGAATCAATGAGTAATCATGGAATGTAAAGTGAGGAAAGACAGACAAATGATTAAAATTACAAAGTGATTGCGTATGCGTGGAACGAGAACTGACTTATTAGTAGCCGATTGTTCCATGTATAATAAAGGACAGTAAAGATTCTGTGAAATCAGTTTATCATTTTTGGCCTGACGGAAACTTTTAACCCCTTAACGATCGGTTAATTTTCAAGAAAACTGTCATAAAAATGCCAATTTTGTAAATACTCGTATCTGACATCTAGTTTAAAATAAACTAACTATCTACAATTAACTAAAAAATATCCTGGTACTGCCATCTGGTGTGTAAAATGAGAAATAAAATATTTTCCGGGCAAAAAAAAGGAAATTATTAGTTTTATTCTTATTGGCGCGTTACTACTGAACCCTCCAGCCCGGAAATTTCACGGGAGTGAGAAAAAGAGGGCAAAACCTCACCCGTCATTTTCACGGGAGCGAGAAGGAAGGGGTTAATTAGCGGTCAATATGCCTCGTCGAAAGCAGAGAGTGCCATACCAATAATAAACGGGATTTGGATGAGGACGAGTGGATTTTCGAATCGAGAAAACTCAGCCCGCACGCAGTGTAATGCCGCAACAGCGATGCGTAATTGAAAGAAATGGACTAGAAGAAACTGACCTGCTGGCAGTGAGGCAAGTAATATCACAACAGTACGGTACGAGACTCATCATCCGCAGGGCTATGACAGACGGTAAAACTTCCTCTCGTGTTTTAGCACAAGGTTGGAACACGGCTATATGTGTCTTCTTGGCTAGCTAAATAGTTTTTCGCCGTCTGCTGCAACATCAACTGCGGCCAAGGCTTCCTCGATGCAGGATTACTTTGTCGCTTAATCACAGATTCCTCCTACTTCAATGAGCTCACTGACCTGAGGTAACAAGTTGGTTTCTTCGATGAATCTCGCTACAATCAGGAATGCAATAGTGAAAGAGTACACATCAGTACGCTAGAGAGGAAACGTCAGATGCCATATAGCACAAAACAAATTGTGGACAACCTCAACAGTGTTCGCTACATAAGGGAAATAATGGAGCCACCCCCCCCCTCTTCAATGCATTCTGTTAACCAGATTAATGTCCGTGCAAATGTCTGTAAACCTTAAAAGGCTTCTTCAGTGCACAACAGGTTTCACTTCTACCATGACTTACTTTATTCCTCGTATATCTCACCCATATAGCAAGTTCGGAATTTCATCGGGCTGCAACTCGCTCATACAGCTGACGGGACACACAGTAAAACTGAATTTTGGCGTCAAGATGAAACCATATGGAATACCATTCCAAAGGATTAGAATTAGAATGTGTATGATTCAATGACACAACGTGTATATGCTTTCATTGCTCAACGTGACTGACACACAAAATATTAATTTGCGGTGTTCTTTTTTTCCTTGCAAATTTGATAGCTTATTTTTACTATCAGTAATATCTGGAATAAATTTCATTAATCCCTGACAATTCATTCATAATGTAGTAATTTTCACAAACATCAGTATACATACATCAATAAAGAATCATGTGGAATCACTAGATTTGAAGGCCTTGACTTATGCTACATACCCTAGTCATCCCAATAAATAATAACAACGTAATTTTTTAATAATTTGTGAACAGCTTCAAGACAAATCTGCATTTACAAGAAATATTAAATATTTATTTGAAATTAATCGTTTCATTTTCCATCGCTTAGTTACAATTTCGAAATCTCAATGATATTCTAGAAGACACGAAATTATTGTTTGTTTTGGGGAAATTAAATATATTTCTGATATTTCGCAGGCAGACATTTTGTATTATAAAGTGTAAAAATTTCCTAACTTTTTATATCACAGTGATACATATTTTGCTTGATATTTTATAAAGAATAAATTTATTATTTTTATCATATGGTAGTTAGTTGAAAACGTCTTTTTTTGATCAAATAAAAAATTCATTCAATGAATCACTTTATTTTGCAAAGTTAGAAACATTTTCTTTCGAGCCAATAATTTATTTTTACTGACTGAGCACTCAACAATAAATGGTATAAATAATTTAATATAAGCTTTAATATTAAGTAAATATAAAAAGTTCAAACAACAGAGCAAGATCATAAAAAATGCACACAATTAATAATCATTTAATGTATCAGGAAAAAAGTCTTTTCACCATTTACTCACGAGGGAATTGAAGGAAAAAAACATTACGAACATTTGACTTTTATCTTTTAGAATAAATAATTAAGTAAGATTTTTATGATTTTGTTTTAATTGATACACTAAAGGCAAAATAACATCATTATTCAAAAATCATTTTTATTACGAATACTTTTTGTTCATTAAAGAAAAAGCACCTAATCATGTTATATATTACTAATTACTTTCATTGGAAATTGAAGAAAAATATCTTATTATTTATTTATAACAAAAAACCTTAAATCTTAAATAATGCGTATCCTGTTGTACGATAAATATTGATAGAAATACACAAACAAATGAAAATATTAACAACTGTAAAAAAATATAATAAAAGAAACAATTATCATAGTCTAGGATGTCAGATAGAGACTTATAACATAATTAAGCTACTCGCTTTGTTTACAAAAGAAATAATAATTGCATTCATTTTGTCAAAAAGAAAAGACTTAGTTAGGCTATGATTTCTATGCTCATGTAAAATTCCCTCATGGCTATATCCATCACACTAATAAATTTCTGTTTCGTATTCCCTTGATTAAATAGAAAAAATGAAATATTAATATGCTGAATTAACTTTCCGGCGTTTGTTTCAAAGAAATAAATATAAAAAACACAACATCGCCTTAGGTGTCTTTATAATTAAAATAGATTCTTTCGTATTAAATAAAGGTCAAGATTTGAGCCATGAAGTGTCAGATTTTGGCATTTGTTTCCTTTTTTTAGATTTTTCAAAGAGGAAAGTAGGATTTTGTGGAGTTACATGACTAAATATATTTCTAATACCATGAGCGCTTAATCCCTGTTTATGATTGAAAATTCATTAAGTTGCTCTTCACAAAATTTCGGTATTATGAGTGCGGAACTAAATCCTTAATAACAAAAAGTTTTCAAAATTAGGCAAATAACTTTTGGTAAATGAGCTTTGAGAGTAAGAGAGCGAAAATAAAGTGTAGTTATTATAATTATTCTTGGCGATGAAAATAATGAACATCGGCTTTAAAGGAAGTTCATTATAGAAGTAAATGAACTTAACAAAATAGCTGGAAGGGATTTTACTATTACACTTAAAACAATTTTTACTCTTAAGTGAAAGAATGTATTTACTCATTCCGACTTTTTATTGGATGAAAGTACATTTTGCATTATTTGGAACATGAAAATTTTGAACACAGCCCATCTAAAATAAAGAGTGTTTCGTTTATTGCAAGGCAAACAAATGCAATTAAGTTGTGTCCATTTTTATAAGTGCTTGATTATAAACGCTAGAATTATTTAAAAATTTTGAGATTCTTCCTATTTGAGAAATGACTAAAAAATAATTACTACTAAACTATGCGCTAATTTAATAACTGAATTTATAATTATCTTTTGCGAAAAAATATAAACGAGCGCGGGTATTTACCCGAAATGATTGCAATAGAAATTGAGATCATTTAAGTTTCGAAGTAAATACGTTTTAACATCGACGTTTTTATGTATTTCCGTTATATATATATATATANAATCCAATTTTAACATATATACAGTCCGTGGCCAAATTATTAGACGCATGAATGATTCTATGTAAAATCTTAATTATCACATAATAGTATACTGCTTTATTGTTTTTTACACTACTGACTTGCTTATGTTCGCGTATTGATTGGTTAACATCGTAATGCAATACGTTAAAAATAGATACAAATGGGAAGAACATAAAAATATTTTTGAAGAAAAAGCCCATTACATTTATGTTTAAATATAAAAGTATTGCATGTAACTTCGTGTAAAACATGTAATTATTAAAAAACTACAGTGCGTCTAATAATTTGGTGGAATTATTATAATATACTAATACAATACCTGATATAATAAATATTCCATATTTATATAATATATCTTCTAATTTTCCCAGCAATTTAAAAAAAATATCAACGCTAGTGTATGGAATTGTGTATTTTACTTTTGTTTAAAGGATTTGAATTAGGATACACTGAAGTTTCAGCATTAAACACATATAAACCGAAAGGTCTCTCGCGAATCAAACAAATTTTTTTTTGTAAAATCATTATTTTTTTTCTTTGTTAGGAAATTTTCACATTTGTCTATTTCATTCTGAACGCTGTTTTTAAAAGTTGCAAGAATTTGATTGATACAATTGGAAAAAATCACTTTCTTAGTATTTAAAGGCAAACTATCAATTAATATCTATTATTTAAACATTACTTAATAGTAGATTATTTAGCAGTAAATTAATTATTTGTAA